TCCTGGAACACCAAGAGATGGTGCAGCAGTTGAAATCCTTGGCCTCTTGAAGAGTACATTGAGATTTGTCAACGAGTTTTTTTTCTAAGGGCTTATTCAAGTATACTGAGGTTGAAAAACCAGACGGAGACAAAATAAGTTTGAAAGAATGGGAAAAGTTGGTGCAACAAAACTTCGAGAGATGCTTTTTTATCCCTGAGGATGCAAGTGAGGACCGTAAGTATGTGGTAAACCCAAACGTTGTAAACCGCAGAGGCATTTACAAAGACCTTTTCAGATCCGGCAAAGAGTATGAAGATTACCAATTGAGACCTAACTTTGCTATTGCAATGTGTGTGGCACCTGAGTTGTTCGACCCCGAAAAAGCTTATGGAGCTATTAACGTGGCCGACAAGGTTCTTCGTGGTCCTGTTGGAATGAAAACATTGGATCCATCTGACTGGAACTACCGTCCGTACTATAATAACCTGGAGGACAGTGATGACTTTGCTACCTCTAAAGGTCGAAACTATCACCAGGGCCCTGAATGGGTATGGTGCTTTGGCTACTTTATTCGAGCCTTTTTGCAATTCCATCATACTGTGGCATCCGGTGGAAATTGCGAACCAAGCATTGAGCTTTTAACTGCCCTCAATGAGAGAATCAGGGGGCACATGAAATGGATCCGCCACAGCGAGTGGGCAGGGCTCACTGAATTGACCAATAAGGACGGAGAGTTTTGCTACGATTCGAGTCCCACTCAAGCGTGGAGTACATCGTGTTTGCTTGATTTGTACTACGATCTTTGGCAAGGACGTCTTTATAAGTAGTGGTTCAATTTCGTGTCAAAAATGTCAGATGAACATCACCATCTGATTTTCAGACATTAGAGCGATTGTTCGTGAATAGAGCACGAAGTCAATAGAATAGTATTCGTTTAGGTATGCTTTTCAAGAACTATAGTATGACCATGATGCCGACTTGTAGTTGCTATGTGTAATAAAACAGCATTGCCAGCCGCGAGTAGACGAAGGACTGTATAAGCTAGGTGTATTTTATCCGGACCGGAGTGAGATGTGGGGAACACGTTCACACATTAGTTTTGGGCGTGATAAACTTTTGTTCTTGCAAGAATGTTGCAAGTCTAGAAATGGGTCCTCATCAACGTGCCATCTTTTGTAAAAACCAGATACTCCTACAGGCTCACATAAATTTGAAAATGAAGAAAGGAACACTTCATACTCAATGACTCAATTCTGTGCGGCTGAGATTCATGTAGAATGATTCGAGAAGTGGAAACAAGAACACAAACAAAGCGAGCCAAGCAAGCTTCTACAACAAAGAGGCATATCAAAGGTAAAGTGAGGAGAGGGAGAAAAATTTTCAAATCAATGAAGGAAGAAAGCTGACTGAGTTTTCGATGGAGAGAACAATCGGGGAAGCGCTGCATACACCATTATTCTCGATTAGGCAGGCGAATCCGGGAGACCGAGAACCTTTCATCAATTGAAACTTCCTTCAGCAAAAGAGCCATCCACGATAAACAACAAGCACACACACGCTTGCGCAACCACAAAATATCGAGTCTCCACTTGCAAGCGGGGTATGAGATCCGACGGATATTCGAATGCGAAAACGGACTTCACATGAGGAAAAGCGGGACCCAAGTACCGCGCGCCCGTACATATATAAAGCCAAGCACCATGGACGGAATTTATTGTAGCACCCACAACCCAAACGAACCTGTTAGAGGGAAAAGTATAAAGGGCAACATCAAACAAGAATCCTGCTATGTTGAGAAGCATCAATCGTGTCAGCGCTCTCTCGCTTCGTCGGTTTGCCTCGCTTGGATTTCCTTCCACCACTGAAAGCTACCCCACAAATCACCTTCCCAGCGGGAGCGAGCCATATTTGACGCCGTCGTTCCACAACAACAAGTTGGTTAAGTCTGAGCTGGCCACGTGGTATGATATCCACGATCCAGCCACCAACCAGCTCATTGCCAAAGTTCCCCAGTCCACGCCTGAGGAATTGGACCAGGCAGTTGCTGCTGCAGAGGAAGCATTCCACACATGGAAAAACTACTCCGTTATCCGGCGCCAAGGCATTGCTTTCCGCTTTGTGGAGCTTTTGCGCCGCAACCACGACCGTCTTGCTGGCATGATCGTGTTGGAACAGGGAAAGACTTTTGCCGATGCAAAAGGTGACGTTTTGCGGGGCTTGCAAGTGGCCGAAGCTGCGTGCAATGCGCCACAAGACTTGATGGCATCTTCTTTGGAAGTGGCTACAGACATGGAGACCAAAATGGTGCGTGAGCCGTTGGGTGTTGTGGGAAGTATTTGTCCCTTCAACTTCCCAGCCATGGTGCCATTGTGGAGTTTGCCGCTTGTGATGGTCACTGGAAACACATGTGTGCTCAAGCCGCTGGAGCGTGTTCCAGGCGCAGCAATGATTATTGCAGAGTTGGCTGCGGAAGCTGGTGTTCCACCTGGAGTGGTGAACATCGTGCACGGTAAGCATGACACCGTCAACAAGATCATTGAAGACCCACGCATCAAAGCAGTGACTTTTGTTGGTGGTGACGCTGCTGGTAAATACATCTACGAGCGTGCTTCTGCCTTGGGCAAGCGCGTGCAAGCAAACCTTGGGGCCAAGAACCATATGATCGTTTTGCCAGACGCAGACAAGAACCATTTTGTCAATGCACTTAGTGGTGCAGCATTTGGTGCTGCGGGTCAGCGGTGCATGGCGATTTCTGTTCTTGTTACGGTGGGCGAGAAAACTAAGCTGTGGGTAGAGGATGTGGCTCGCGATGCAGCGGGTCTTACTGTCGGTTCCGGTTTCGACTCCAAATCAGACTTGGGCCCAATGATAAGCCCAGAGGCATTGCAGCGTGCACGCGAGATTATCAGTGATAGCGAAAAGGCTGGAGCCACTGTGCTTCTTGATGGCCGGAAGCAAGAAATGCCTGCTCCTTTTACAGAGGGCAACTTCTTGGGCCCAACAATCTTGACTGGAGTGAAACCAGGCATGCGTGCGTACGAGGAGGAGATTTTCGGTCCTGTTTTGGCTGTCGTGAATGTGGACACTTTTGACGAAGCCATTGCGTTGGTGAACGCCAACAAATACGGAAACGGTGTGTCTTTGTTCACTCAATCTGGCGCAGCAGCACATAAATTCACCAAGAACATTGCATGTGGCCAGGTGGGTGTGAATGTGCCTATCCCAGTGCCTTTGCCCATGTTCTCTTTCACTGGTAACAAGGGCTCGTTCTTGGGCGACTTGAACTTCTACGGAAAGGCTGGTGTGACATTCTTGACACAGCCAAAGACCATTACGTCTTTCTGGCGCACAAGCAATGTGGACGAGGTTTTGGCTCCATCCACAGCTATGCCCGTGCAACAGTAGGTGGTTATATTTATCACTGGGAGGCAAAATACTAATATATACATCTAGGAAATGTTGTTTACCAACTTTCGCTATTCTTTGTAGGGTAGATCAGAAAGTACATTAGATGTTCACCCGTTGGGGTCCTTTGAGATAACCGGCCAGGATACGAAGAGTCGAAGTTCTAGCAATTAGCAAATACACTAACAAAGACGCGAGATTCGCTTTGATGCCGATTGGATGACACTAATAAAACCAGCAAACGTTCTACAAGCGACTGCCTGCTATCAGTTTTGGTGCAAAGTAGTCTGGTACATATCTTTCATCTCGTCTATGCTATGAAGGTGCCTCTCATACGCAATGAGGATACTACCAATACCGAATAGGCCCAATAAATGGTCGCACATACTGAATTAGTTGTAGTACCATGTCGAATCATAAGATGCGCGTTACTCATCATCATAAGGCTTGGTAAGCAGAAGAATTGATACCGCTCATTCCGGTCAGGTTTGCTCTGAAACAGATACGTGATTTTACTTCATCACGCCCATCATAAGTATCAGGGGGCTGAAGCCTTACATGCCGATTGGCGAGCCCAGCGCGTTTTCAACGACCCATGACGCGAATGATTCTTAGTGAGCCTTGTCAATATCTTCACCATATATGTGTCCATAATAATGGTTGTGCATTCTTGGCTGGAATGATGCTCACCCAGCTTCTCTTGATACTACAACATTTGACGTCACAGTTTCAGAACTACGCACTAGCACCACCGGGAGTTTCGGCCAGCAAACGGGAAAGAACAGACTAAACATAACATCATATAGCCGCCATTGTTCGGCCAATCGTCTAAGCGGATCGTAAGATAAACCCAATTGCCGCAATTGGACTGGAACGAGCCGCAAACACGAAAATAATCAGCCACAAACGACACGCGTGCCAGTCCCGGGGCCCCTAAGTTTAGCCGTGGCCAGCCAATGGCAGATGTGGGACTCCCCTTTGCGGCTTCGCTTTTCGTAAGTCGTACGACCGGCCTTAAGTGGCGACCCAGAGTTAGGCATCGGCGCATTCACTATGTGCGACCCCGTTTTCCGTGGCTACCCCAGAAAAATCATGCACACAAGCCACTTGTTTAGGCGCACGGCTCGCATCTTGCAGACAGTCACTTGTCCCATTCGAGACTAACGGGCGAGGATCAGCGTTGTTTGCGACCAGCGCCGTTTCCACGGGACGGTGAGTTTCCCGCGCTGCAAAGAAACGCGCAAGCCGCCGCCTCCGAAAGGCCAAAACTCACGCTGGATGGTCTCGGCTCGGCAATGTCGTTCCCGCGCTTCCGGATCTGGGTGGCAGTTGGTCTTGCAGGTGGGCTCGATGCGAAGGGAAGCGGGCACGTGACCCGCATGTGCATTCTAGCGCGCGACTCATGGCCCATTGGCTCCAACATGACTGGCTCGGACTTTAGGTGCCCATGAGAAAACAACTGCTGCCCGCATGAGCTGCCGACAAGAACAAGGAAAGAGCAGAATACAGTGGCCGTGAAAGCCGCCGCCGTGAGAATTGCTGCTTCGGATCCCTCCAACACACCGGATTTTGTCCCCCGGTCATAGGTGAAAAAAGCGCGCACCCGGCATCTCCCGTCGCAGTGCGTGTGCAGAATGCATAGAAAATTTTTGTCCCTAATTGCCCTTTTATATAGAGTACTTTGCTAATCGGCGACGCTTGATATATCACTACATCGCGCAGGCCAGGTGTAAGCGGCATTTTTTTTAAATTCCATTTGCTTTGTGTCTCAGAATTATCAAACAAAAAAAAAAGTGTTTCCAAGTAGCACTTTTTTTTCATTTTTTTTTCTAATTTGACCTCCGTTTCTTCCATTCTATCCCGCTCGCCTCCGATCTAGCTCTTTCAATTGCTTCTGTGTGCTTTCCATTCTTTGTATATTCTGTCCCATATTTATTGAGCTCAAGTGCTCCTTCAATCTTCCACGCAACAACAAAAAATATCTTCTACCACCCACCCCATTTCAGCCCATAGCATGTCCATATAATCATGACCCCGAGCCCTGCAGTTCAAAACCCAGCCTCGAGCACTTGTGCCACGCAGCCCATTTTGACCATCACCACATCGAAAAACTGGGTGTTGCCGCCCCGGCCCAAAAACGCCCGCAAGGCCAAGGCAGACAAAAAGAAGACGCGCCCTGCGTCGCCTCGCAAGCCGGCAAAGGCCCCAGTCCCGGTGCGCCCTGAGATTCTGCCTGCGCACCTGGCTAACCTGCCCATCCGCCCCGCCTCCACCAACGTGGTTGCAGGTCCGGCTGTGCCCGAGTCGCTCGATGATCTCCAGGCCAGCATTCGCACTGTGGACAGAGAAAACTACCATTTAAAAACCCGCTTGCTCTCGCTCATCCATGACTACAAAAGCTTACGGGCGCTGGTGTTGAGCTCTGTTTCCTCGGGTTCGAGCTCTCCAGCACCAGGCATGTTTGAGTCTCCAACCACTGCTCGTAAGCGCTTGTACAATGAGATTGGCGACCCAATGAGTGAGCTCATATCTAATATGAACGGGCTCTCATACAAGAGCCCTTCTACTGAGCTTGTGCTGCATGAGATGCCTTCGTCAGAAGCCACCATGTCCGCCAATCTTGCAATTGGCTCGGATGTAGGCGTGTCGGAGGTTGCAGCGCCTTCGGAACGAGACAGTGATGTGTTTGACTTTGTCGATCTCGATGCTAGCACACGGCCACTTGACGACGAGGACGAACTCGAATCGCTTTCTCTCTCGGTGTCGCCTTCAGCGTCAGATGCAGATGAGAACCTGCTCATGACATCGCTCACAAGGTCCACCACCGTGTCGACAAACAATTCTTTTTTCGAAAAGAAACCGTCGCTGGTGTTCAAGTTCTACGACTTGCCTGTCTACTCGGAGGACGACTACGCATTTCTGTTTGAGAAAATCGACCCTCATGGCGAGGCCATGTCTGTGATCCAGGAAGACCACTACAACCAGGTGGCCGATTTCCTCGAGGAGAAACTCATGAGCAACGACATCAAATACTATGTTGAAAAAAACCATCCTGCGGGCGTCGCGCCATTGTGAGACATGTCCCGCCCTACGAAAAACGCTCTGCACCAGATGCACCAGGTGCAGCCACATCATCCTATTTATTATTAACCTTTAACGAGATCAATGCCCATACAAACAACAAGAAAATGCAATTAGCTGTAGCCATGTAGACGCGTCCACTCTAGAAACAAAAAAATGAAAAATGAAGCACGGAAGACAACGGTACTCGTCTTTGCCCAAGCATATTTTAACTCGTGATTTTTTATTTTCCGTCCTCCATGGGTCATGTACGGATGGATTCCCCTATTTGCTTCTGAAAATAGTCTGCCTGCACACGCGCCAGGCGCAACCTGGCTTTCTTACCCGAAACACCAGTGTTCCCCCACACACCGTTTGGTTATATAAAACGTACTAGAGCATGGACAATCTTGGCTCGCAACTCAGCGCTTACATTGAATTTCCAATCGACTTCGAAGGCCAAAAGAAAGTCGATCGTCTCATCTTTTACTCTGTCTACGGCACTGGTTTACTTAGCGTACTTGTTGGTGCTTCAACGGGTAACTTGAATATCTTATTGTTGACTTTTGCCACTTGTCTCGTGGCTATTTTGCTTGCCGTATTACCTCCCTGGCCCCAATACACAAGGAATCCGGTCCAGTGGCTCAAGGTGAAGTATGACTTTTGAGAAAGAAAACTTGTACTTGGGGTTTGATTTGTCCACCCAACAACTAAAGGTTATTGTGACCAACGAAAGGTTGCAAGCGGTGAAAACCTACCATGTCGAGTTTGATAATGTCTACAAGGAAAAATACCACATCAAGAAGGGCGTCCGTTCCAATCCAACTTCAGGCGAAATTCTTTCGCCAGTGCATATGTGGCTCGAAGCCATTGACTATGTGTTTGGCCAAATGAAACAAGATGGGTTCCCTTTCAACCAAGTACGTGGTATGTCGGGCTCTGGAATGCAGCATGGCTCCATTTATTGGTCAAAAGCCGCAGGAGAAAAGTTACTGTCGATGGTATCTTCAGCTACGTTATCCGAAGCTTTGGACGGCGCCTTTGCATGGGACCTATCTCCAAACTGGCAAGATCACTCGACAGGCCAACAGATCAAAGACTTTGAGAAAGTGGCAGGCGGTCCGGATGGGCTTGCTCTCAGAACAGGATCCCGTGCCCACTACAGATTCACAGGCTTACAAATACGTAAATTGGCTGTATCCTCGGAATCAAATGTGTACAAACAAACCGAACGGATTTCTCTTGTGTCAAGCTTTTTGGCATCGGTATTGTTGGGCCAGATCACCACAATCGAAGAGGCGGATGCTTGTGGTATGAATGTTTATAACATAGCAGAAAGGGCTTACGACGAGGAGTTGTTGGCTGTCGCGGCAGGAGTACATCCTCAATTGGATGGTGCTTCGGAAAAGGAATCCCAATCTGGAGTGGAGGAGTTGAAGAGAAAATTGGGTGAAATCAACCCTGTGTCATACGAGTCTTTGGGTAAGATATCACCATACTTTGTTGAGAAATACGGGTTCCCTAAAGATGCAAACATCTACTCCTTCACAGGAGACAATCTTGCTACAATTATTTCTTTGCCATTAAATCAAAATGATGTCTTGGTTTCGTTGGGTACATCGACTACCGTCCTTTTGGTGACAGAAAATTACTCACCGTCGTCGCAGTACCATTTGTTCAAACACCCAACTATGAAAAATGCCTACATGGGTATGATCTGCTACTGTAATGGCGCCTTGGCTCGCGAAAATGTCCGCAATGACTTGAATGAAAAATATCATGTGGATCACGATTCATGGGAGAAGTTCAATGAATTGTTGGACAAATCTCAAGATTTTGACAAAAAGCTAGGAATTTACTTCCCATTGGGCGAAATTGTTCCCAACGCAGCTGCTCAATTCAAAAGATGTCTCCTCACCCCCGAGGGAGCGGTGAAAGAGGTTGAGGAATGGCCTATTGAAAATGATGTGACCTCTATTGTTGAATCGCAGACCATCAGCTGCAGAATGAGAGCAGGCCCCATGTTGGCAAGTTCAGAAGATGTGCGTGGTAAGGAAGAGGAGGACACACAGTTAAGAAAATTGTACAATGACTTAACTGCCCAATTTGGAGACATTTATACCGATGGGAAACAACAGACATTCTACTCTTTAACCTCAAGACCTCATCAAATTTACTTTGTTGGCGGGGCTTCTCGCAATAAGAGCATTATTAGAAAGATGGGATCTATCATGGGTGCTACTAATGGTAATTACCAAGTGGAAATCCCCAATGCCTGTGCTTTAGGAGGCGCTTTCAAAGCCAGCTGGAGTTACGAATGTGAAAAGCAAGGCACTTGGCTCGATTTCAACACCTACTTGAACAAAAACTTCGATTTTGGTGAAGTTGAAAAGATCGATGTTGACGACAAATGGGCCAATTATTTTCCAGCAATGGGCATGTTGGCAAAGATGGAGTCTTCGTTGAAACATGACTAAATAGACTAATTCGCGAATAGAGTAGACATATAAAGTTCGAGGTTTGTAGATCCGCGCACAAGAACTTCCTGAAGATATATCGAATAGTGATGTCCCGCATAACTTCCTTGTCACAAAATTTCAGAACACGAAGATGGAACTCAACGTACACTAATGTGCTCAAGAATCTTAAGGCTGGAGATCCAGTTGATGTTGGTGATGTGAGAAAAGCTCTTGCATCAAAAGAGTTGAGCGCACATGAGCTTGAAGAACTCCGACCAATAATAAAGACAAGTGCTTCACCTGAGGTTATCAATGAAATATTGCACCATACTTTACCGAAAGATTTTTCTCTTTACTTTGCTATGACGAAAGAGAGACCTTCGCATCTGTGGAACGAAAGATCGTTACTTTCGTTGTTAAAGAGCAATCCGGGCCGGGTTTACACGCTGTCGGATTTGTTAAAGAAACATGCATCTGGATCAGTGAGCAATGAGATTCGGAAAGTTGTTTTGCTGAAGTTGCTCCTTGGTGAAGCCGCAGAAGTGCGTGATGGAGAGTTCGAATTGACGAACGACAATGTCACGAAAGCCATTGAGCTTTTGAACCAAATGGATCACACGGATGAGTTAGACCATCTTCTCAATGTTCTATTGAACCACATGATTGCCCAAGATACAACACATACTGCCAGTGACATCACTCTACAAGGATTTGAGGAGTGGCTCAATGCAACCAAACTTTCTGAAGTTTCAGAAAGGCGGGCCTTCTTAAATTTGTCTCAAGTTGTTTTTGAGAGAGATCCTCGATTGTTATCGAAGCAGACATTGAGCCGAATTGTGTCGTATGACATTGAGGAAAATACTCCGTCAGAAACGGAGTACATTTCACAAGTTCTTCAGTACATTGAGACGAACCACTTAGATATCGACAGAAAAGATGCAGAGGCACTCTTGCTTAGAATTCAGCTCATCGAGACCTATGGGATCAATAGGGATCGTATGGATCTTGCTCTTGAAAAGTTTCATTTGTATCAAGCACACGAGAAATTTGGAATTGAGCTCGTACAAACAAAACTTGTCCAAGCATTTTGCTATCAAGCATTTAAGAAGAAAGATACAACACTGCTCAAGATAGCTGAAACTTTGATCGTTGCCGATGAAATACCAGTGAAAAGCATCGCTCATCTCATACTCGCGAACAGTTGCTTCGATAGCGAAAGATCCTTGAAAATCTATAACGATTACATTAACGATGTACCAAAAACCATAAACAAGAATACCAAGCGTTCATCCTCGGGCCTTCTTACCGAATGCATGATGATAGCCAGTCTTTATGGAAACGATCGTGAGTTTGCGCAGCTTTTATTCGAAAAAGCTGTGCAGAACAAGATCGTGGTCGATGAAATGGAAATTGCCACCATGAAAAAGGTGTTCAAAGTTTACGGAGACGCCTTTGCTGACGATAGCTGGGAGTCTGCAGAACCAAGATTAGCTCAGTATGTTCTCAGAACCATTAAGAACTTGTAAATAAGATACAGTAAGTAATTTCATAAGTAAATAGACCGAGTCTTACACCACCAAAAGCAGAATGACTAACAATTAGCTTTACTTTTTGTGCACTCGGATCGAGTTGTGAATGCCGTTGAGAGGTTATGACTAACCTCTAACAGTGGCTCATTTTTTCAGAAAACATATGTTGGCGCACGAAAATTGCAAATAATGAAAGCGAACAAATCAAAGAAATAGACTTGTAAGCTTAATCATATTGGCATCTAGGAGAAATTACGCAACAACAAGGATAGTCGATCTACTATGTACGAAAGGCCGTTTCTATGCCCAAAGATGTGGATGAGATGTGAAAAACCGATAGCCAGTGCGACATCCCGATATGAGAGGTGCACAGAAGGCCCTACAATCAGATAAGCGGGCCGTGTACTGCATGGGTCCCCACATTGAGTCACCATAAGACAAAAATGCCTTTCTCAACATACGGAGGTAGTGCAGGACAAACGATTATAAAAGTGTCATACTTTCTCCTCCAGAACTTTTCATTGCAATATCGAAAAAGAAAAAGATACTAAAATGGCCCAACCAGTTATCTTGCACCTCAGAGCAGAAACCAAGCCATTAGAGGCTAGAGCAGCTTTGACACCAACTACAACCAAGCAGTTGCTAGACGCTGGATTCCAAATTTATGTGGAAAAGAGCGAACAATCGATTTTCAAGGCAGAGGAGTACGCCGCCGTGGGCGCAACTATTGTTCCAGCTGGATCCTGGAAGACTGCTCCTACCAACAGAATCATCATTGGCTTGAAGGAGTTGCCAGAGGAGAGCTTCCCTCTTCTTCATGAACATATTCAATTTGCTCACTGCTACAAGAACCAGGCTGGATGGCAAGATGTCTTGAAGAGATTTGTCGATGGCCACGGTACATTGTATGACTTGGAGTTTTTGGAGAATGACCAAGGCAGAAGAGTTGCAGCTTTTGGCTTCTACGCTGGCTTTGCTGGTGCAGCCATTGGTGTCTTGGACTGGGCTTTCAAGCAAACACATTCTGACTCCGAGAATTTGCCTGGTGTGACTCCATATGGCCACGAGTCTGAATTGGTCAAGCACGTCAAGTCAGAATTGGACAGTGCTCTTGCTAAGAACGGAGGCAAGTACCCAAAGTGTTTGACTATTGGTGCTTTGGGCAGATGCGGATCTGGTGCTCTTGATTTATTCAGAAAAGTTGGTATTCCTGAGGATCTCTTGTTGAAGTGGGACATGGCCGAAACCGCCAAGGGAGGTCCTTTTCAAGAGATTGCAGACTCTGACATTTTCATCAACTGCATCTACTTGTCTAAGCCTATCCCTCCCTTTATTAACATGGAGTTGTTGAACAAGGCTACAAGAAAATTGAGATCTATCGTCGATGTTTCGGCCGACACCACAAATCCACACAACCCTATTCCAGTGTACACCATTGCGACAGTATTCAACGACCCTACGGTAGTTGTTGAGACTACTGCAGGACCAAAGTTGTCTGTTTGTTCGATCGACCACTTGCCATCTTTGCTTCCAAGAGAAGCCTCTGAGTTTTTCTCGAGAGACTTATTGCCTTCCTTGTTGGAATTGCCAAACAGACATACATCGCCAGTGTGGGTCAGAGCTAAGAAGTTGTTTGACCATCACGTCGCTAGATTGGAGTAGAACCACGTTCTTATCTAGATATTTATCGTATACACATGGAAGTTTTTGACAATCCACTTGTATTGGTCTATTTATTCGAGAGTCACACTGACTTTATTGCTGTCCTTACCCTTTCTTTTTCTCTTCTTGGAAGGCTTCATCAACACCTTTCTAACTTCCTCTCCATCAGTCTCGTACTCGGACTCGCTCACAGCCTTTTCCTCTTCTTCATTGAATCTGCGCTTCATTGTGTCAGCCTTCTCAACAGACTCACCACAGACAGAAACACAATTCAATCTCTCGCCACTATCGTAAACGGCAACCTGATCTCTGACCTTCTCAGAAACATCCCACACAACGATCTTACCATCTGACGAAACAGAAACCAAGTACGGAATATCACTTGTTTCCTCGCTGCAGAAGAACGAAATTCCTTTCACACGGTTCGAATGCCCCCTCAAGACAAATTGTGGTTCAGGCTTGTCCTCTTTCAATGCTTTTTCAAGTTCCAAGAACTGAATCGATCCATCACTATGACCTGTAACAATGTATTCAGTTCCAGCAATAGTCAAGAGTTCAAGACACATCAAAGTTGTGGTGAATTGGATCTTCTTGCATATTTGGGCTTGGTCTCCAAGCTCGTAAATGAAGAGCTGTTTCAATAAGCCAACAACGAAATTCTTTCCTGAGCTCGTCCATCTGACAAACTCACCAGATTGACCTAAATGGTCTCTCCCCTTAATTTTAAGAACAGCAGCTTTACGAGCAGTCATCAAGTTCCACAAGCGGATGGTGTTGTCAGTGGAAACAGAGATGGCCACTCTGCCTGTAGGATGAATATCCAAATCGTTGATACGGCCCTGATGCCCCTTCAAAGTGCCAAACAACTCCCAGTCCTTTGTCCTCCAGATGATGATATGACCATCTTCAGAGCCCGATAAAAGCCATTTACCGGACTTGTGTGCTTCTTGGTGCTCGCCCGATTCCTTGGAGAAGCGTAACGTAGTCACTGTGCCCTGATGACTTAACAAAGTTCCAAGTTCTTTCCTTTTTTGCAAGTCGTAGATACGAATGTGTTCATCGTTGGATCCAGTGACCAAGTAACGCTTAGCGATATCTATCGATTTGATGGACAATGCGTGAGCTTGGAAATGGAAAATTGGAGTGAAGACCGGCTCGTTTGTGCCTTTCAACACAAGCGACAAGCACAACAAGTTGTGCTCGTACGAGCCCACCATGATTCTAAACTGCGTGTATGGTCTAGAAGATTCTGACATTTGATGCTAAATTGTATCTGGTTGAAAATACCTAATGATGCTCATCTCAATATGAGCCTGCGGTCGGCATATAAACTACTGATAATACAGACATGTCGTATGTCTTTAAATAGTTATAGATGATCGAAAGAGCAGAGAATTCTAGACATGTCATATACGAATGGGCAAAGTTCTCGTTTACTTTTATTCTGAATTTACAACAAGTGTTAATTTCCACCTGAGCCTGTAATATTTAGGGGAGAGAAACCATCGTAGAATGAACGAACAGGAATGAAAATAACAAAAACAATGAAGTAAACTAACCTGCGAAATCAGAAGCAGTCACATTCATGATTCAACAGTTGTTTCTGGTAGTTTTAGCCACACTGTATATCTCATTGGTGAATTCACTGATCGCATGAAGATTATTTCGCGACTCTAAATTCGCAACACTACACTAGCATTGTGTCTCTATTATAATCAGCAATGGTCCAAAATCAAAAAACACCGCTGCAACACAACTCAACATTGTTTATCTCGCCACAGATAATGAACAGGCGAAAAAACGTCTTCATAACTCCCCCTAATCCACAGAATAATCTATTTGAAACACCAGGATCACTGCTGTCTCTGTTTTATAACATCGACAATGTTAGCGACAACATCACCAATGGCGCCAACGGAAAAGAGACCGCATACCCAACAGAAGAGCCATTGTCTCGTGCAGAGAAACTCCGCTTGTGGCGTCACGATGCTTTAATGCAACATCACTATGATACTGCCGAGTACATTGGTGACAAGATTCTATCGCTCACAAACGATGCGAACGATGCTTTTTGGCTAGCCCAGTCATATTTCAATCGGGGAGATTATCTACGGGCAAATCTGCTTCTCAACAGAGAGACGCATTTCATGCAATCACTCAGTTGCCGCTATCTTGCCGCTTACTCACTAATCAAGTTGGAGAAATGGGATGATGCACTTGATGTATTGGGCGAGACGAATCCTTTCAAAGATCACGTTTACAAAGTGAGAAATACAGATGGTGGTATTCGTCTTGAGGCTTCTATGTGCTACCTTCGTGGTCTTGTGTTTGCCAACCAAAACAACTTTGAAAAGGCCAAGGAAGCTTTCAAAGAGGCGATCCTTGTAGACGTCAAGTGTTTTGAGGCGTTCAATGAGCTTGTTTCTAATAATTACCTTTCACCAAGCGAGGAGTGGGAGTTAGCCGGTCAGCTTAACTATGCGGATGCAGATGATAATGATGAACTCATTAAGCTTCTTTACACAACCAAGTTAAGCAAGTACTTGAACAACAAAAAATTCGAAGAAGCAGAAAACATACTAAGCGAAGAGTACAGGTTGGGTGACAACACGGATTTGCTTCTTAGTAGAGCTGATCTCCTATATATCCAGTGCAATTATGACAAATGCTTGAGTGTTTGCACAAAGGCTATGGAAAAGGATCCATGCAATTTGAGCTTGTTGTCCAACTACTTGAGCTGTCTTTACGAGCTTGGTGGATGCAATAAACTATTCCTTAAAGCACACCAACTAGCAGAGTCACATCCTACAAATCTGCTTACATGGCTGGCCATAGGCATTTACTATCTTTCTATCGGTAAAATTATTGAGGCAAGGAAATTTTTCAGCAAAGCAACGATGCTTAACCCAAGCAGCGGGCAGGCTTGGATTGGATTTGCCCATACTTTTGCATTGGAAGGAGAACATGAGCAGGCAATTAGTGCATACGCCTTCGCTGCACGGTTATTTCCTGGAACACATCTTCCTAATTTATTCTTGGGAATGCAACATTTGCAAATGAACAACGTTAACTTGGCAGAAGAATATCTTTTAGCGTCCTATCAAATTTGCAACACAGATCCATTGCTACTCAATGAATTGGGAGTGATCAAGTACCACAAAAACTCATTGCAAAAGGCTGAATCCTATCTACAAGAGGCGTTAGATGCGGCCAAATACCTTAACTCTGATTCTCAAATATGGATATCCATCCATTGTAACCTTGGACATGTCTATCGCCGATCAAACCAACCATATAAGGCACTCGATTGCTTAAACCAGGCTTTCAAGCTTAGTCACAGGAATGATAGTAATATTCTTTCATCAATGGGGTTACTCTACTTGAAACTCGGTGATACTTCAAAAGCGATCAATGTTCTCCATGACGCATTAGCATTATCGCCCGCAGATCCAGTTGCGTCAGATTTGCTCAAAAGAGCATTGGAGTCGAACAAAGATGTTTCTTCCTTCTTCCGTACCAATGACTCGAAGACTTTAGACTTGCTGCTTGGCCGTTTCATGCTGCGTGAATTTTCGGGCAAGAAACAAAACCAAATTCTAGACGCCAATGTCTCTGCCAATAAGTTGACGACTCCTTTAGGACACAGAAACAATTATGCAGAGAAAATTTCATTTGAAAACACGGCGGATGTCTCTGTACTAGCAGAAGAGTTGAAGCGCGGGGAGGAATCAAGTGGTGAAGAAATCATGGATCTTGAAAGTGATTGAAAGTTGTACGTTAAAATTTATCCTTGCATCGCATTTATCTAATAAGGCATTTTCTACATTTATCATAATCTTACTTGTGTCATAATCATCAAAACCAGAATCGCAAAAGTTATATGTCTCATAGACGTATATATGAGCTTACAAGTCACGATCTCCACGATTCTGTATCTTGGTACTGTATCAAAAATTTAATCTGTTCCCTTTCGTAGAAAAGAAGTAAAACAATACCAATGTTGTCTATTAAACAGAATCCATCATCTGTTTCGTCCTCCTCAAGATTGTGCAATGTCAGTGCCGTTTTGAGGTTATACGTCAACATGAGGTTATCGATCGTAGATTTCCTGCGCATACATACGTATTATCGGAATGTTAACCGAGCTAAATCTGGCATCGTCTCAGTCATAAGACATCCGGGTCCGATTAGAACTAATCAGGAATTGCTGAGCGGATAGGATTATTCCATATCTCAGACCTGCAACACACTTCTCTCTGTTCTCTGGACGGTCTGTTTCATTTTGTTTCCATTATTTTCCGTCATCCCCCCTCACATACCATATGAAACATGAATACT